TATTTTTTATCAATATTTCTTCACCACTATTATAACAAAATTATCTGTAGCATACAACAAAAAAGAATTTTTGGCTAATAAATAAAGCTTCTAGAAAAAATTTCATCAATCATTATGAAAAAAATGTAGATAAATAAAATAATTTCAACTATAGTTGGCTCAGTATATATATATTAGTAGGTCTGCATCATTCGACATTTTTTAATATATTAACAATACTATAGATCGGCGGGAAATGTTCTGTGACTGATTTAGTGGATTTTTTTTTTTAAACCTATATGTTCGAGCATAATAAAAATATCTCGATAATGTCGATCATTAACTAATACAGGCACCAAACGTAATTAAAATATTAAAAAAAAAATCTTTTGATATATATACAAAATTTTTTTTGATAGATTTGTAATAAACTAGAGGATTATTTTATGAATGAATAAATTTGTTACTTATTACATTTTATTATCATATGTATATTTTATTTGTCGTATGTATTATCATATTATTTATTTTATTGTAAAATATTACTATTAACAAGTTGTGTGAATAATATTTCCGCAATTCTATTTCAAACACTCAATTAATAATAGCCTATCAGAGAGTTTTTTCATTTATATTAGTAAAAAAATTTTTATAAAGGTTCAAAGTTGTCAATTTTATTGACTTTTACTATAAACAACGGAAATTTAAAAATGTAATGGCTCGATAATCAAGCAAGTTGTGTGGATAATCTTTCCGCAATTATATTTCCAAACGTTCGATTCATAGCCTATCAGAGAGGTTTTTTTATTTATATTAGTAAAAAATTTTTTTATAAAATGTTCAAAGTTATCAGTTTATTGATTTTTACTATAATAATGGAAATTTAGATAAATTTTAAAACGTAAAGGCCCAATAGCCAAGCAAGCTATGTGAATAATCTTTCCGTAATTGTATTTAAAAACACTCGATTAATAATCCGTAGAAAATTTTTTTATAAAGGTGTCACAAAATTTTCAAAATAACGTTTAAAAATTCCGCATATATGAAATTATTATTTGACTTTTATCTCGGTATAACCAATTTCATTTATATTTTTAACTTTTGACATAATGCCAGTCAGATAGATATTTAAAGCACTTTTATGTAAATTTCGAATTGAAATTTTAGTTTCCTTCGCCGAGACAAGGATTATCTATTTAATTATTATATTATTATAAATAATTTTAATCATCCGTTTACCTGTTTAGTAAATTCAAATGGATTTTATCAAAACAAAATGATGCATAATAACTACTACAGTAAAAATTTCGGCGTATCAATTTACGCAAAATGTACATAATAAGTAAACATTAGATTGTTTGTAGAAGTCTGATTGTTAATTCAAAAATTGATGATTATGTGAAATTGAAATCTACAATTAAAATTTTGAGGTGGGATGTTTGGATATGAAATTCTGATTGGCTAATTTGAATTTCACGTACGTGAATTGCAAATTCACATAAATTTTATTTTCACGCCAATGATTTTCTTCTTCAATTGCTTTTTTAGTAATATTTTGTTTTTAAAACACGGTTAGGTCTTAAAATAATACCTACCAAATATAATTATTTAAAAATTTGAATATATTTTGTAAAACTAAGACTAATAAATTTATGCGTTTTTTAAAGAATATTTTAAATTTATGCATAACTAATATAAATAATTATTAAATGTCAACTCATTGTTTCTAAATCTATTTCAAGAAGTGACTGGTTCAGATGGATTTGATGAAATTTTTGATGAAGATGAATTGCCCTTTAAATATTTTGTTGTTGTTTGTCAAGAAGTTACCCTTTGTTTTTTTTTGTTTTCGTTTTTATTATTTTTTTTTGAAAAATTTTTTTTAATGTTTATTTGTTTTTAACGTTGTGTATGTATAAAAAGTTCGCATTCAGTTTATTAATGAAAAACATTGTCAACTTGACCAAAGAATACAAATAAGAAAATATTTTGCATAAAAAACATCAGCTGTTCTTATTAAATTTATTATGTAGATCAGTATCAAGTATTGTAAACTATTGTTTCACTATTTTGTGCGACATTATAACATGTATTTAAGAAGACTTGTTATCATATTGAAGATTAATATCGTTTTAAATATGCATTCATTGAGATGGTTTTTATCATTCTTATTATTTGGTACTTTCACAGAATTTGCTTTATCATGTTTTCCAAAAATCAATGACAATTATATTTCAATAAGCCACTCCATTTCTCCAAATTGGCGAGTTAATGTTGTCATGGGTTTTCTGTAAGATACATAGAAAGATTTATTTGCTGTATTAATAATATTTTGAACTTTATTTCAATGAGATGTTTTTAAAATTGAATAGTTATCCAGGCACAAAGATTATTACTTTTAATTCTGGTAATATTCCAGCTTCCAATGAAGTTTTCGTGTTGACTCAATCGAACCCTGGCATTTATGAGATCCTGCCATTTTGGGATTTTAACCAAAATACTGGTAATTGTGATAATTCTAAATGTTTTATTTGTCTCACAGCCAATAATCTTTTGATAATTAATTTGGAATTTGTCATTCTATTCATTGTAATATAGTCATTGAAATTCCATCCGGAAGTAAAATAGTTGGTGACATTGCCCAAATTAATACTATGTTAGTTTTAACATATAACCCTTCTTCCGCATTCCTATCAATCGATTCTAATTTATTATAAGTTTTTTATTTTGACCCTAAAGCATTAACAACAACAATAATAGGGATAACCAAAAATTTTACATCGAATGTGATGTCTGTGATATTCAGACAAGTTCCACGGAGGACTGGGTACCATACCACACTAAATGCACGATAAAGGTAAAAATTAGAAAATTTAATGCTAATAATAAATAACAATTACTAATAAATTGTCTAACGCACATCCTCAAAAATAGAACGTATTCTCTAATCTTTGTATGAAGGGTGCTGTCTCTTTCGCCAATGTGACTCAAGATGATTGTGCAAATGCACAAATATGGAATATTTTAGGGTATGTTGAGTTTGAGATCATTTCTCATATGCAAATCGAGATTTTAATTACATCATTTCAAC